AACTTAACTGAATTATTAATATTACAGTAATAATAATTAACGGATGACACAATTAACTTAACTATCTTTCAGTACAATCTAATTTCAAGGTTATTAAGTGTTAATTTAATTAACTTAACCTTCCGTTTTTAATCAACAATTTAATCTTGTTTAAACTCAGACAGTAACCCTAACAATTAAGATATTGATTGGGTAAGTTGTTAACTAATTAATTAGCAATAACTAATTGTTTAAATATACTTAAATACGTAAATCACAATTTAGACTAATTGTAATTATCTTTATCAATAAATAGTAAGTAATTAAAAACTAATCAACAATTTGATTTAATCATTTGGATATAAAAATATTGAAGGTTAATCAATGAGAGGAATCAAATTGACTCTAATTACAATTAACTGGTAATCAGATATTATCAAAATCATCAATATTTTCAGGTTTTTAAACAGGTAAACTAATCATCATCATCATCATCATCATCAGTGAGAGAGTAAATATTATCTTCCTCTTTCTTTTTCTCTTTCTAAATCTGTTTCCGTTTCCTGATAACCTGCCGATTGGTTAATGAACTTAATGATTACCTTTTCTATTAACAATTTAAATCAATAATAGTTGTGATTATATGATGATGATGATGATGATCAACAATTAGAATTGATTAATTGATTTATATTTGACTGTATGTATGTGTATAAATCATCATCATTGTTGTTACTAATTGCAATTAGTTAATCACAAGGTAATATTGTTGATTATCAATTGTGTTAACAGTGATTACAATCAGTTAATTAGTAACAACCATTAATCAGTGAAATGAAACTGAATTGCAATTAGCTGGTAATTAGTTAATCATTTTATTGGTAAACGGAAATGAATTTAATTTTAATTGATTTATTTACTTTGTTTGATTTTTTTTTCTGCTTCTTCAACAATTTAATTTGATTGTTGATCATGATTATTATTAGTTTTACAATCAAGGTTAATCAAAGCTTGTCAATCAGTATTTCATTTAATTTCATTTTGATTGTTTGTTTTTTTTATTACAATTAAAAAAAAATGATTTGATTGATTGATTTAGTTATTGTTTCTAAATTGTTTGCTAATTGTTGTTCATCTCTTGTAATTAATTTAGTCATTATTAATATTTGCTTAGTCTAATTAGTTAATCATTGAATATTAGGTATAAAAATGAATGAAATTAATTGATTGATTGGAAATTGATTGTTACAATCAATACATTTACTTGAATATCACAATACTAATATTTAGTTAATCAAAGTTAGATTATTAATCAAATTAATACAATACAATTAACCAGATAAAAATTGACTTCAACAATTAATCTTATCAATAGGTTGTTATGATTATCATTATTAACAGAATTAACTTTTTAATTATCTTATCAATTAATTACAATCAAAGCTCAAACAATTTGTCTTTCGGGTTAATGAAAAAAGGTTAACTAATTAACAAACAATCAACTAACCATCAATCAGGATAATCAAATGATTAGGATTGTTTAATTTTTGGTAAATTGAAACTAAGCCAACAAAACTTTTAAACAATTAACAAATTAAAAACTTAACCTTTAATCAAAACAAAGTTAATTGTAATATAAACACACTCACACACAAAATATATTTAATTGTTGTGAATCAAATATCAAATAACAATTTAATTGTAATAATAATATTTGCCTTTTTATTTCATTACCCTGACAATTAATTGTAATTGATTAATTGTTGATCAAAACTTGAGCTGTTAAAGTTGTTGTATCAAAAAAGCTCAACGATTGGTAATTTTTTTTGTCTCACTCAATTGGTTTAATTGTAATTAAAATCATCATTAAATCATCATAACTAAATTGCTGATCAATCAGATTAACACTTTGTTTCATTATTTATATATTAAATCAAGAGGTTGGTTTGTTAATTGTGTTTAATCATTACAACAATTTATATATATAAATACAATTAACTTGATGAATGGTAAGTTTGAAAAAAAGTTTTCCTAATTGTGTTGATTAACAATTAACTGATATTAAAGTTAATTATCATTAGTATCATGTATCTTAATTTGTTGTTACTTTTTTTGTCACAATTTAAAACACATCACTCATAATATAATAATAACAATTGAATTGGCAATCAACTAACAGTCAGTTAATTGTTACAATAACAATCAATTGATTGTTGTTGCTTTCCAATCATGATTCAGTAATTTAGTTGAAACAGATTGGGTTGGAAATTGTATTTTTTTTAACAAATCAAATTAATGTTTTTTGATATCAACAATTTAGGTTAAATTGTTTTTACTCAACAATAATTATGATGATGATGACAAGGAAACAATTAACTAACTATTAACAATCAAATCAAATCAACAAGCCAATGAAAAAATCAACTAACTTATTTATATGAAAATATTAAATTAATTCAATTGAATTGTTATTATACTTGATTAGCAATAGGAAAATGTTCAAATTAAAAGTTAATTGTTGTGGCTACTAATACTATTAATAGATTGTGATTAAGTTAATTGTTAAGGTAAGAATTAAACAAAAGGGTTTTACAATTTTTGTGTTAAAATCAAAAAATGAACAAAATAATTAAGTTAATTGTCATTAAATTGTGTTCACATTTAAGGTTAAAACTTTTCTCAGTTAATGATTATTATTAAATTGTGATTTAGTAACACAATTAACTTATCATTAGTTTCATATATATTGTTATCAAAAGTTAAATTGTTGTTGTTTACAATTAACTGATTTTTTTTTATATATTCAGCTAATCATGTTTGGTTTAAAAATTTGATTTCTCACTCAAGGTAACAATTTAAACTTGATATGAATACAAAATAATATAATGATTATGTTAATTGTTGATTGTTGGTTAATTTAGTTTACCAATAAAATGATGTCATTGATTAATTGACCTACTGGTGTTTAAATCATCAAACTTATTAACTGTTATCATTAATTGTTGATCATTATTATTGAAATTATTTATTATTATCATTTAGATTTAGTGTCGGCCAAAATTTAATTGTGATTAGTGTTGATTGTTGATTTAATTTTACACTAATTCCTCCGGAAGAAACCAATTAACCAATAGAGAGAGAGAGAGAGAGAGAAATAAAAAATTAAAGTTAAATCGTTAATTGTAACAATTTATTGTTGTAATACAAACAATCTTGTGATTGTGATTACAATCAGTTACAATTGAAACAGGATGAACTGAATTAAATGAACGATTTTAAAAACTAAATCAGTTCCGGTTGATCAAGATCATCATTGGGTTAATCTAATTAAATTAAATCAATATAACAACAAAACTTGGCTAATATAAGATGATGATTAGTGTATGAAGGTTAATTGTTACAATAAAGTATCACCATTGATTAGATCAACTAATCAAATGTGTTGGCTAATTGTTGATTGTAAGAAGCAAATTTCAAATCAAATGATTAACTATATAAGTTTTCCAACAATTAACTACCTCAACTGGTAAAAAAATTAAGGAATTAACAATTAACCTTCAATAGGAAAACAATGAATTTTATATTTAATTGATAATAATCAACGTAACAATTAAATTGTAATTACGTTTAATTTAAGAGTCCAAGGTTATCAAGTTTACAATTTAAATTTTTTGGGTGAAACTTTTTTTTGCTCCAACAATTTAATTCACTTAATTGATTGAACAATTTAAATTGATGAATCAAATTGTTGAGATTAATTAGTAATCAACTTAAATATAAATAAATCACTGATTTAATTACTGATTGAATCTGAATTTTGTATATTAATTGTTTCAATTTATAATTGTCTAAATGGTTAAAATAATTTTGATTATCATTTAGTAAATTGTTAATTCAATCAAGTTTTAATTGTAATTGTGTGTGGATGTTGATGTGAGTGATTAAGGAATTGAATTTAAATATAATGATGACCTAAATTGTCCTGATTAACATGATTAAAAAAAGGTAATTGAAGATCAGTGAGAAGAATGAAAAAAATATAATTAATATAAATTGTTACTAATTAAATGAAAATTACTAAATTGCAACGTACATTTAATTGAAATGGTAAATTGTTGATAATATCAAATCTTAATCAGTGATTAGTGTTGATTGTTAATTACCAAGTGATTAATAATCATAAACGTTAATAAAGTTAAGTAAATAATAATCTTGAGTAATAACAATTTAAGTTAATCAATCTGATTATTTAAGCAAATTGATAAGAAATTTAGTTTTCTAATACAAAATATCAACAATTAGTTAATTGTTGATACGATTTTCAATCCATTAAACATTTATGATATTGAACAACAAGACGAGTTATAAAAGTTTCTCAATTAAATTGACAATTAAAGTTAATTGTTGAGATGAGAACGATGAAAATTGTTATAATACAATAATAACAATCAATTTTTAATCAATATAATGATAAAGTAAACAACTTTTTCCCAGTCTAATCAATGAAACAATCAACTGATCAATGGGAAAAATAAACAAACAATTATAATCAATTGTGATCATCATCATCATGATTAGGGGAGTAATTAGTTTATGTAGGGGAATTGGGTGGGCAAGCCAATTAAATTGTTACCTTAATCATTTCACTGTGAATAATTAGTTAATATTGTCGAGAAAAAGTTAATCATTTACTAATTGTGGTTAATTTGATTACTAATCATGATCGGAACTAAATTAAGTCAATAACCTGAAAACGATTGAAAGTTAACCAATAATGTGAACAATTTTTTTAACAATTAACCAGTTAATCAAGAGTAAAGAATCATAAACTACCAACATAACCTAAATTGTGACAGTTAACGAAGATGATGAGAGAGAGAGAGAAAAAAAATGGACGAAAAGAAAGAGAAGAGAAAAAAAATTGGGGAAAAAATCGAATTTTAGGGGAAAACGAACGTGTCGCCATCTATGAGTCTCTTTTTCTTCTCTTTCATTTTTTCTATTCTCTTTTCTCTCATTTCAGTTTCGTCTCTTGATCAGTTAACATTCAATGTGTTTAATATTGAAAAGGAAGAAAATAAAAAGAGAAACTTTTTAACATTTTCTCTTTCTCTTCTTTCTTTTTTTTCTCTCTCTTTCTCTCAACTAATTGTAACTTTTAGTGATTTAACTTTTATCTCGTATGTAATAATAGATTTAATGTTATATTAATTAATTTTCTTTTTTCTTGTGATTCGCATTGTTTTTAACTTACACTTATTGTGATTGACGTTTCTCTCTCTCTCTCTCTCTCTCTCTCTTAACTCTTGTGTGTGTTTGTGTGAACTATATTTTCTTACCCCCTGCTAGTGGATTAAGATTAAAGGGATTAGAGTTAAAAATTTCAAAGGATATGGTTGCCATTAAGGGAATTATGATTGACTGTCTTGATGATGGTCCGACCCTTGAAAAGGGTGGTTACATTTTCTATTCTGGATTTAAATATGGTTCCTCTAAAACAGTAACTTCACCATCATCATCATCATCATCAACAACAACAACAAATAATAATAATGTTAATAGTAATCATATTAATGTGACCAAACGGATTAAAGTGAATCAATTTTTCTTTGTACGGATTAGTCGCCATGATGATCCTTGTATTGGTGAACTTGTGTCCATTTGGAAAGATAAATACAGAGATACCATGTTAGCTTCGGTTCGATTATATTTCCTACCTGAGCAAACACCCGATGGAAGACAATCTAATCATGGTCAGGTATGTGTCTCTCTCTCTCTCTCTCTCTCTCTCTCTCTCTCTCACTTAGAGGAATAAATTAGCAACAACAGAGAAAAAGAGAATAGAATAAAACAAAAAGTTCTATTCTCTTTTACACCAATTTTATTCTATTCTTTTTTTTCCATTTCTCTTTCTTTTTCTTTTCTGTTCTCTTTCTTTTTGATTGTTTCATTTTTATCTTCTCTCTTTTTCTAATCTTATCTTCTCTTTCTCTTTCTCTCTCTCTCTCCTCTTCATTTTATCTTCAATTTCAACATAATTTCTGATATAAACGTGTCTCTTTCTCTCTTCTCTTTCTTTCTCTGTGAATATTGTGCTCGGTGAATTTTCCATATATTCTCATCATCTCTCATTTCTGCTGATTGATTTTCTATGTGATTGGAATTAAATCAATTGACACTTTTTCTCTTCTCTTCTTCACATATTGGAATTGTTACTCATTTATATTGTTCATTATGCAATTGTTATAATAATTGATTGTGTTTAAAACAAATATCAAATATAATTAATTGACAATCAATCATCAACCAAACAACCAAATGAAACTTATTGTGTATATGTGTGTGTATGTTTTTCACTTGTGGGGATAATATAACAATTAATTGAAAAACGTTACCGTTTTTTTTAAACAATTAACTCAAATAATTTAATTCAAATTACAAATATAATCAGCACGAGGTTCTTGCAGCATCGGAACCTGTGATCCTACGATTAAATGACCTGGTCTCATGGATGACCGAAGAGGTTGATTGGGTTACCGGTCTTGAAGTGCCTTATCATGCAATTCATATTGATCCCCCTGCCTTTACATTACCCTTTCTTAATTTAATTAATGATGCTAATAAGCAAATACCCTTAGGGCATGATAACAGTAACCCTCAGCAACAACAACAACAACAACACCCAAAAAACCACCAACAACAATCAAATGAGAAATCAAATGAACATAATATTGAAATTAACAGCAAAAATATTGATACAATTAATGTTGAAGATAAGGTTAACAAACAATTACCAGGGGATCAACAGCAATCAACTTGTTCATCATCATCAGCAGCAACTTTAACCTCATCATCACCATCTTCATCATCTTCATCGTCATCACAACCAAATAACAACAAAAATGATTTAATAGGGGTTATTGATTCCCGAATAGGTAAGCTTTTCATTTCTCTCTCTCTCTCTCTCTTTAATATTAATTGAAACATATTAATACAATCAGACGATTAACATTAGGAAAAGTAGAAGCATAAGAAAAGTAATGTTAATTTAGAAAAGAGACTTTTTTTATTCTCTTTACATTTTTATTCTCTCTCTCTCATCTTTTTGACTCACACACCCTCTTTGGTTATGATTCTCTACCAACTGGTTATTTGATACTTGAAGAAAATAATAATGATGATGATGCTCACCAATCAGCTAAAGTTTTCTTTTCACACCATTAGAACCGACAATGAGTCTCACTCGAAGATGAGAAAAGTTTCCAAATTTCTCTCTCAATTTACAATGTACTCTCAATGTACTTAATTGTCATCATCTTCCTTTCTGATTGTTTTCTCCTTCTAATACTTTGTATTAATCGAATAGTCTAATTTTTATATTTATATTCATTTGTTTATTTTTTTCCTTTTGTTTCATTTACCTGATTTTATTCATATTACCTTCTCACTCACTCTCTCTCTCTCTTATTCAATGACCATGATGATTATTTATCTCACTCATCTCAACAGGGAATCAATCAGTCATCGTTGTCCTTTCATATCCACAATATTGTCGATATCGAGCTGTTCTCAAGAAAATGGAAGAAAATATTAAAGAGAAAGAAAATATTTCAACATCAGTAAATTGTCAATCAAATTTACACATTAATAGTAATAATAATAGTATAAATCACAATGTTAATGATACCAAAGAATCACCATCATCAAGTGAATCAAATGTTGATATTAAGGAGACAAAAAGTGTATCATCTACAGTGACACCAATATTAAAACCCTGTATCCGGATCCTTTTTTGTCGAGAAACATTTGAACATGAAGGACTTTTACATCATGATCTTAACTGTGAACACTTAGGTAAATACAAATATGCAAATTATGCAAAAACAACAACAACAACAACAACAAGTAGAAAAGCATGATTTCTTTTTCTCCAGATTGTTTTATCTTTAATCTTTAATTTCTTTACGCTAATTACTTTTACTCTTATTGTTTAATTAGCTCCCAAATTAAAAGGCCGTCCTAGAAAACGTGGTTCAAATCATCATAATAATAATCATTCAAATGGCTCTTCTTCTGCTGCCAACAATAAGACTACTACTAACACTACAACTACAACTACAACAAGTAACCATTCAAGCTCATCAGCTCAGGACTCTGACACCTCTGAGGAAAATAGTAAACAAGATTCATCGAGAGTTCGTTTACCACGTAAATCAAGTGCAAACACCAAGGTTAAATCATCATCATCATCTGTTGAAGTTGATTGTGCCTTCCAAGGGAATACAACCACAACAACCAATAAACACAAGTCAAAACCACCAGCAATGTCACTTAAATTGGCGGAAAAATGTCTCAAAAATGAATCAGAATTTATGAAACAATTGAATAAATTTATGAAAGAAAGGAACACACCCATAACAAGGATACCACATCTTGGATTTAAGAAAAGTAAGAGAGATTTTCTTTTCATCTTCCTTGTATACGTTTGAAGTATAAAAAAAAGAAGAAGCAGAAGAAAATATTCTCTACCATTTTGATAACATTTTCTAACTGATGCTTTTCTTGTAGACTCCTTTTCTTATAAATATTCGCGTTGATCAGATGAAGAAGAAAAAATAATGATGATATTATCATCTAGAAAGAGAGTGAGAGAAAGAGCAAATAATCGTACTTACACTTGGAGAGAGAGCGAGACTGAGACTGAGAGAGAGTGGAAGATGAAAAAGGAAAAAAGTGATGAAGAATAAAAAATTGATACGAGAGAAGAGATTTTTTTTTCTTATTCATATGTTTAGCATGCAATTTGAGACACATCTCATTAGTAAGGCTTGTAAGATTTCTGAAGTGTTTGAAGCCATTTAAGAGGGGAAAATAGGGATAAGGATGATAAGGAAGATGAGAAGATGATAGGGAAATGGAATTGGGGGAATTAATCAAAAAGATTGGTTTAAATCACGTAAGAAAATATGAAGATTGAAAAAAGAGTGAGGGTGATGGAGAGAGAGAGAAAGTTAAGCGCATGAAAGCATGAAAAATGGTAGAGGTCACACCCCTGTAGGCAGTGGTGAAGGGAAGAGGTTAGCAAAAAGAAAGGAAAGAAAGAGAGAGATGAAGATGAAGATGAAGATGATAATTGAGAGAACAGTCAAGTTTAAATGAATGCATATTTTCATGCCTATGGCTTTTACTTTATGCTTACAATCAAGAAAAGTGTAGTTACCATTGTGATCTATTAATATATTTTTAATCTTCAATTGATATTTATCATTAATGTTTCTTTGTATATAACTATCACTCTGCCTCTGTTTTTTTATTTATTCAAATAATTCAGATTATTTCAGATGATATCAACTTTATCTTTCTCTCTTTTTCTCTCTCTTGGTGTATTTACCATGTTTGCAATATTATTTTGCTGCCTGGTTGACTCTCTCACTTACTTTGATTTATGCCTTTCTTTTTGTTTATTGATTTATCACCATTGTCAGGACTTTGGGGGTGATATCTATGTAATGAGTTTTTTTTATCTATCATGATGTTGGGAGAGGTGAAGATGACTCTCTGTGTATTTGTTTCTCTCTCTCTCTCTCTCTCTCTGCTTGATTTCTGATTCTTTGTATATTTACAATTTCCAAGAACTTTTCTCTCCTTCTCTCCTTTCCTCTTGCCTCTTTCTCCATGGGAAATGTTATCATGTTTTCACTTTCTTATACAACAATCACTATCAATGAATTGAATTGTGTATATATTTATACATGATTTTTTAAAAGCTTTAGAATCTTTGTTAATTTCATGTTAACTGAAGTGAGAATTGAATGTTGAAAAATTTTCATTTATCTCTTGTGATGACTTTGATTTTTGTGATTATAATGATAATCATCATAATGATTATGTTGATGATGATGCGCTTAAATATGATGATGTTAATGAAGATGAAATATTTGTGAACAAGTTGATCATCATAGGAAAATTATTGAAGCCATGATAATGATGATATGTAAAAGCAGAAGACTCTAAGAGATGAAGAAGAAGAAGAAGAGAAAAAAATAGAGAGAGAGAGAGAGAGAGAGAGAGATTATCATCCTCATCATAATGATAATCATCATATTCAAGACTATCCTGACAATGAAAGATGATAAAGAAAGAGGATGACAAGTCAAAAATAATGATGATAATAAAAGGTTTAATGTAATTGGTTTTTTCATGTTGATTTTTTACCTTTGCTCATGAAAAAAAGGTGATGATGTTTTTTTATCTGCATTTCATTGGTGAATTTCATTTCCATTGACCTGGAAATCAAGTCCTTTTACCTGTTCATTATTATTAAAAGATGCTAGAGAGAGAGAGAGATAAATGATTCTTTGATCATCAAGCAAGAAAAAAATAATAACAATAACAAACAATCAGATGAAAAATCACTTCTATTGATGTGGTCAAGGTAAAAAAAGGTAGTCACGATTTTAAGTCCACTCGTTTCTTACCTGATAATGAGATGAATATGCTTCCTACTTCTTGATTTCATCATGAAATTTTTTCTCATCCTTTTTCTATCCATCTGATTAAATTGTGGATTCTTTTTTTTATTGTTCACATTATTTTTGATTATTATAATGATGAGACTAATGATCTATTTATTTTTCCGATGATAATGTTGGGATGATATGATTTGTTGTTGAGTGACCGGAACAATAATATAAAGTATGTAATGTATTAAAAACATATATGATAAAGTTAAAACCATAAATAACCTTTAGGCGATTTTGAGAGTTAAACCCTGAAAGAAGAAGTAGATAATTTGAAAAAATGTTTAAATCATCATCGGGAAGATGATAGAAGATGAAGAAAATATCAAAATGGGAGTGAAGAGTATGTTGATGATGGAAGATGATGATGAAAAAAGAGAGCAAAAATGATAAACTTGTTTTCCAAATTTTATGTGAGTCTTGGTCCATTTTGTATGTATATTTGTTGACAATTGAAGAGTACAGAATAGTAGAGGAAATATTATTGAGAGAGTGAGAGGGTGGGTGGAAGAGAGGGAGAGAGAGAGAGGATGATAAGGAAGAGAAAGGAGTTGATATTTTGCCTGAAAACTTACTTTTAATAGAAAAGAATGTTGATGACAGTTGAGAATCAAGGGAATCGATATTTTGAATAGGAAGAGAAAAGAAAGAGAAAAAGACACACAGAGGAAAAGAGAGAGATGATTTTCCATGTTATAACTTTATCTTCTTTCTTCTTCTTCTTCTTCTCTCTATTTCTCTTTTTATCATCTTTCCTCAGTTTTCTAGTTTCTGTCTCTCTCCCTCTCTTTCTTGTCCTGTGATGATGAATAAAGAGTTGAATGAATTGGGCTCGTGAAATTAAAACGTAAATTCATCTGATTAAAGGTCGATGTGATGATGATATTTCATATTCTATCTGCAAATAAAAGGATAAAGACTCAGATAAGTTGTGAATGATGAGTGAACTTTTTTTGCAGTAATATGGTTCATTTCTGAGGATAGAGAGAGAAAAGAAAAAGGTAAATTTTCACTCAAACCACTGACTTGGAATCTTGAAAAAGAAATAATATATTTTTCTCATTGAATTTTTTCCATATTTCACATCTCATCTTCACTTTTGTTTCTCATATTATCAGCATCTTATTTACCATGTGTGTCTCTGCATCTCATGTGTTGTTTATTGTTGTTTATTTGTCGTCGTTCAATAATCATTTTAAAGGAAAAAAAAGGTAAAACCTGCTTCCTTCACAATTTAGTTTATTTCTTTCTCTTTTTCAAAGAGAAGATGAAAAGAAAGAGGAAGATAAAGTGCATGTAGAAAGAAAGACGAAAAGAAAGAAAAATCGCTTCAAGAAGACAAAGAAAAAAAGAGAGAGAGAGAAATGATAAGCATGAAGAGAAAGGCAAAAGCTTAATCCTATCTGATTGTATCCGATTGCAAGTTAATTTAAAGTCCAAATGCAATTGACTAAATCGAGGTCAATCTCAATTCTCTAAGCGGTTATAATACAATAATAACAATCTACAGTGTGTCTGATCTTGAGTGTGTTGAACATGATTCTCCCATGCATACATGGTGAAAATGTATTAATTATTTCAAGTTTCAAGCTTTACATTCAATCTTAATCTTTATCTTGATCCAGAAAATTATGTTTCCACTTCCTTACAATATTAATCTTGATGTTTTTTTTATTATTCTTGCAACATATTTACCTGTCAATATCATAACAATAATCATTACAGTTGTAAATTGTTGGATATTAGCAGAAATTGAATGTGTGTATGTTATTACAACACTAGTGTAAAAGTGATCACCTTTTTTTTTATTTGGGAGAAAAAAAGTTTGCAAAATTTTCATCAGAAAAGATTGACAGGTCTCCTTACATTGTCACGATAATCTAGCTCAAGGATGAATTTGGTGTATGAAGTTTCAGTTTTTTTTTCTGCTTCATTTTTCCTTCTCTCTCTCTCTCAAATTTGCTCAAATTCTGATGATACTTCTCTCCCTCTCTCACTCGAATATAAAATCAACACCAGATATTAATGTATTTATAATTTTTTCTTCATTATGAGAAATTTTATCTTCCAATTTCATTTTATTTCTCATTTGTTATCTTTAATTTTATTCCTATCGCCATCTTGTTTCAATGTTGACTGTAAATGATGATGATGGTGATAACATTTATCTCTCATGTCATTCATTTAAAATATTCTGTAACCTCTTTTTTTTTACAATGAAATCGGAAATTGAAACTTGAAGATATATCTCCATGGAGAAGTTGACTGTATTTCCTGTTTATATTTCTTTTTTTTTATACTTTTCATGATAATTCAGCTGCAATTCATGAGTTGAACTACAATCACGATTGCAGAATTTTCTTTTCTCTTTCTTTTTTTCCGCTCTCTATCTTATTCACAGTTATCTGGACAACATCTCTATTCCATGGTAATAATAATGAATTCTTATTCAGTTTGAATGTAAAATGATTTTTCAATAACATGAGATAAACTATAATATCGGGTGGAGGTTATTATTGATTAAATTTGATTAGAATCAATTTTATACTCTACCTGACAAGTTATCACCATTTTAACCCAACATCAATCCTATGTTATCATGATTTTTCAGTAGATTGATCATTTTCCATTGAATTTATCTCTATCTCCCTTTCTCATGATAAAAGTTATCAGGGTTCAGATTTATTATTTTCTCTCTCTCTCACTTCATCCTCTTTGTTTTCTATCAAATATATGTGTTGATTTATTGTGAGTTTATGTTTGTCTTCATCCGTTTTCCTTTCATCTCAGTCTTTCCTGGTATCTACTCATGTTAAACTATTAACTAATCATCATCACAATCATGAAACAATTCAATAATCATTATCAGAACTTTCCTTTTTTTTCATTCGTATGGGTGTGGTTTCCATTCATTTATATATTTGTTTG